AATTAGTGTAGTAATCACCTTAACATATTACTTGCTGATTAGCTGAATTAAACTTTCTATGTATTATGAAGTTTGCAGTTCAAGGAAGTTTTGGTAAATAGATCTGCCTGAATTTCTCAGATCCAGTGATAAAATATGAAATTGATAACAAAAATCACATTGCAATAGATAATTGTTTTGATAAATTCTATTGAGTTGAAAATATTCGCAATTGTGAAGTGTTTGTTAGATAAACGGAAATTGTGTATTGGATTATTAAGTCTTCCTTTTAAATCAATTCTTTTATTTCAATTCATTCCGACTATTTGTCTTTCCCAATTACATCATTTATTATAGACAAAACGACTATCATTCAATTCCTCATAAATGATTCGAAAATGGATATTCTAACTCAATTTTGAAAATATAATAATAAGATTTACAAGGATGAATAAGCATTTTACAATTTGTTTCCCGTGTGTTAGGTTGTTCCGAAATTACATCCTCGGTTTTCGAAATGGACACAAAGCTTACTGTACAACCTGCTATGGTTTGTTGTTCTTTTATAATTGTAAAAATGCTGGTTTTTTATTATCAGAATGTTAAAATTTTTTGTGCTAATCAATATGGCTTACAAAAATTAATATCATAGGTGATTTTTTTTTAATTAAAAACTTTTCAATTGCTTTAGCCAATTTAACCAATTTTCAGTTTTGAAAATCGGTTAAAATGTTGCAAGCAAACATTGTAGATTGTCTCATTTCTATGAATTACAAATGATTTTGAGTGGAACTTATCCAAAATTTTTTTATTCAATCACACTCAGCTTAAATTCCTCAAACTCAGTGACATTTTTCAGGTAACATTTTCAGCGCCTTTAACTGAACGACAAGTGGTAGATTTGGACATAAAAAATGATTGGAATAAAGCAATTATTTTTAAAATGAAGACTACAAGACCGGAAGCATTCAAAATGAAACCTGTCTATGGGCTCATTGATGCTGGTGACAAGGTTTTGTTAATTTCTCTAAAATAAAATGTAACGTTTTAATATAAATTTAAATAGCTAAGATTACATAGGCTGTGTGCTATCTGTTTCACAATTTAAGTTTTTCAATTATTCAAACTGTTTACAATGAAACAGTTAATTTTATTATATCTTAACTAATTTCCAAAAATTACAGAAAAAAGTAATTTTGACTTTAAAAAAATGGGATCCGAATAAGAAGCCAAAGAAAAGCGATCATTTCACGGTTGTGATGGCGCCAGCACCTGCCAAATGCAATAATCCCATGAAAACTTGGAAAAGTTGGAAAGAAAGCAAAAGATCTGAGGTTTTCTAAGTTCTTCTAGTGAAAATTGAAACACAATAAACGATTGCTTTTGATTTTACGAAATGATGAAACCGTCCGTGCAGTTTCCGGATTGTCTGCACGAAAAGAAAAGGAAATCCGGAATTTGTCTGAACTATTGCATAAGACAGTAATTAATGAGGTAGAAGGCTATTTTCATGACGTATTTTAGCGTATTCCGCGTTACAGACAAGTATTGGCGCTTGTCGTCGAGTGATAAAGATAACGTACAAAGGAATTGCGGTGAAAGAAGGGAAAAAGAAATCGTCAAAAACTGAGGTGACAAATGTGCCAGCAATTGGAGCCGAACAGGCCGAAGACAAAGTGGAAAAAAAAATCGGTGAATAGAATTTGGAAGTAATTTCGGATGTGTGCATCATTAGCATAGTGTCGAAAGAATATATTTGTAAAAGTTATTGCTTTCAGAAGGAGCCAAAGAGGATGAGGCTGAAAAGAAGCCGAAATGGAAGCCGAAGAAGAAAGAAGAAGAGGAGGGAGAGGAAGAGGAAAAAGTAGAAAAGAAAGGCGCTAAGGATAAAAAGAAGGAAGAGGAGGAAGAGGAAGAGGAGGACGAAGAGGAGGAAGAGGAAGAGGAGGAGGAAGAAGATGAGAAGCCGAAGAAAAAGTCGAAAAAAGGAAAGAAGGAAGAGGAACAAGCAAAGAAGAAAGATGTGGAAGATGAAGATGGGAAGGGGGAAAAAGAGGACGAGGGTGATAAGGATAACGAAGAGGAATAAATTATGGACAGTTTGATTGTAGTGCTATTTTTGTACCAAACTGTACCATAAAATTACATACCGCATTAGAGTTGTTTTCCCCTGGCCTGAATATCTGACTAAAGGATTGTGTATTTACAAAGCCCCATTCTTGTAGGCCATATCAGAAATAAAGTGTTTCATTCATTTCATTTAATAGATTTTTTATCATCCAAGTCTTCTTGTGATTAGCTCGAAATTAAATGATGGAATGTTAAGATAACTGGTAGCGATTTACATTTAAGCTATTTTTTCAATTTTATTGAATTTAATAAAAGCTAATATTGTTTAGAAATATGAGTATGAATGTTTCTTTGTTAAATTTCAATCAAAAATTCATTCCAATAAGGTTTTAATTTAATCCGTTCCATGAATTATATTCACTTATTTCTGAAAGCTCTATAAACACACACATATAAATAACTGTTTAACTTATAACTTCTGGTTGAATAATAGTGCTAGTATTTTGTTATCAATTTGAATTTGGTAAATATATTCATTCATAACCTGAGGCACTAATCTTATTCCCATGTTTTGTGGCTTATTTGATAACGACAACTTGAGAAATGGGAGTTGACCTTAAAACAAATTAAAAAATATTATTTGAACGTAAGAATAGATGTAAAACAATTTCCACGTCAACTTTCTCTTCTATGGAGTGGACACTCACAGAGTGTTTTGAGCAAATGTTATTGGCAAAAGTTTACTTATCCGTGCAAAATTGAGCTTCGCATGGACTATCAGATCTTAGCAATTCCTACCATAACAAATATTATATTTGAAATAAAGATATCGGTTTCATATGTAAATATGAATATTGGTATCTTTTAATATTTGAAATGAAAATACTGCAGTAAAACATGGATTGAATGATATATTTGAGATATATATGATTAGGTATTTCAAAAATTTAATTTATCAATCAATGTGCATTTTCAAACGGGAAAAATGCTAAAACCATTCGTCACACTGATTCTTTTTTTTTGAATTGTATGCAGTCGAAATCGCAATTGCAATTTATAATTTATGAATATTTAAAAAATTTTCATTTTGCAATTTTCTAACGATAATTTCGCAGAAAAGAGAAAACATTTTGATTTCACCAATTTGCTTCAATGTGACAATTCAAAATTATAACCTTAGTAAATTCGATTGTTCTTTTTTGCCTTGGTAAACTTTACAAATTTTTTAAATCAGTCATAGAAACACGTGAAGTAAGCCATATAGGAAGATAAATGCATTAAATTTAGGACAAGCATACTGCTTCCTTCATATTTATATTGTAAAGCGATTGATTAAAATATTTGAAGGATATATGCGGAATTAAAAGTATTTCTTCTTTTCATATGAATATCAAGAAAGTTTATTTTCTTCTGCCAAAAACAAATACTTTATTCATTTGTTGTTAAACATATAATTGAACTTATCAATTCTTGCATATCACTGCTAGTTATTTCACTGATAGTAAAAGTCTTGAATTTTCGGTTGATTGATAATTTATGCAAGTTTAACGGCAATTTTCTGAAATTTCAAAAGTCTAAAAATTACACATAAAATACTTTTAAAAGATTTTTACACAAATCAGATGCAATTTTCGCTCAACAACAACAAACAAACTATCTTTCTTGATTTCCTAGTTTTTTTGCCCGGTATTTCTCAATGTTTAAAAGCAATCGAAGAGCCATACAAGTTGTAGAAACTTTCAGCAATGTGATTATAAAAAGAAAAATCAATAGATATTATTTGGTTAACGTTATTTATCGGCAATGACAATGATGATAACCTATCACTGACTTGATCATTAAAATATAAATAAGGCTTTCAAACATGCAATTTTGCAAATTTTTAATATTTTAGTAAGGGAATTAATTCAAAATTTTCTATACTAAATGTCATGTGTCAGTTTCCTATCATATTCCTTTGTTTTTTTTTTCATTTTTCAATTCATTTCTCGACAATCCGTTTAATATTTCCCTAATCGGATTATATTACTGCATCGACCACTGAAAAACATTTCCAGCTGAACCATTCATTCAAAATGATTTTATAGTAAATACAAAAGTTTTCCAAAAAAAACTTTTGCAAGAAAAAAAAATTTTTCTTCATTCGAAATAAAAGAGTAAGCATGCTATGTACGATCAGATTTCTTTAAAAGTTTTTTTTTATAAAATTTTCTTTATTTATTACAGTATTACATTTTCTCAGGAAATAATTAACTTTGAACCTTCATTGTTCAATTGTGGAAATGTTGTCAATTTCATCTTTTATTTATTCATTTTACATTTTAAAAGCTATGCTTAATTGCACATTCTCCATTTTTTCGTATATTTTTTACAAATTATGTTTTTTTCAAATCAAAGATCTATCATTCGAATAATTATGGTCATATGATGGTAAGAGAGTTGATAAGACATTATTTAATGACGGCGCTATTGTACGTCAAATAAAAACCATATAATGTATGGCTTTATTTGGCGTAAAATCTCATGATATTTGCAAAACTAGCAATGCATTTTCAAAACAATACCTTCCTAAATTTCATTCTGTTAGGCAAAATTTAATGTATGCATCGTTCAAGAAATTTTGTGAAATATTGAAATTTTTTCATCAAAACGCATTTAATAGTCAGTCAAATTTTGCATTGACAATTTTTTGCATTATCATTATAACACCACATAAACTACTCAGACAGTTTTACCCATTCGATTTTCCTTTTTTCTTTTTTAATATTATTAAGCAACGCTTAAATATAATCACAATTAATAGAGTGGGACAGTGATGTGGAAATGAATTTATGTCTCATTTCATTATGTAACTAAAATAGGATAATTAAGTTAATTTTTCATTGACTTTTTGTTATAGAATGAGAACAGAAAGTCTGAAATAGATCATTTTGAATGGTTTGCTCGATATACCATTTTAAAATTAGAAAGACGACAGTTTTTATGTGATAATATTTATTTATTTATTTAATATCTGTTAATTTGAATCCAATTGCATTTTCGATTTTTTTCCTTGAGGACTTTCAGTTAATTTCTAACTTGTGAAATACTTCATTACTTCTTTGTTCTGACTGAAGAAATCAGAAAAATTTTCTAATCTATTTCTTTATAATATTATACTTTCAATTTTCATTGTTCAGAGATAATTTTTTGAAGTTTTAAAAATAAAATATTATTTTAGAAAAAATGAAAAATTTTGATTTCATCATAAATCCAACAACAAAGCTTTATTACATACTAATATCATCTTTTTCGTGTGTTCAAAATTTAAATTCAATTAAATTCACAATAGACAATTCAAACAATGAATCATCAATGCTTTTTGCACATTATTATTTTATCTGCATTAATATTTTTTAAAGTCATTGATAAATTAAGCGGTCAAATATATTTTTAAATTAATTAGTCTAGAATTCCTGAATCACTTTTTCATATGATTTAAGAAAAAAATAGAAGGGACCAATCAAAAGGAGTGGAAAAAGAGGAAAAGTACCGATTTTTATTGATTTCTAATAGAGAATTTAAATGTTTTGCATTTATTCAAACTAACAAACATCACAAAATATATTATTATTTTCGAGTTAAATTTGTGCTATTGTGCAGTAAAAGTTAATTTAAATGTTATTTTTATGATGAACATTAATGCTCTTTTTTGTTGTCAACATTAACTTTTAATTAGCCGATGCAAAAATCAAACTAAATTCTTATTTTTCCGAGTAATTCTTAAAGCAGTTTATTATCAATTCGTTTGTTTCAACCAAAAAAAAGCTTTTCTTTTACTTGTTGTTATTTAAAAATGAAATTTAGAAATCATTGGATTATTTATTTTTTTAACTGCTTTAAGGAAAAAAAACAAGAAAAATTATCAAATAGATTAAATCCTATTTTGAAAAGATAATTTTAAAAAAGAAACAAGCTTACAGATTTTTACATCTCCTTGGTATTACGTTTCCGTAGTATCACTTGCTAATTTTTATTGCCAAAGATACATAAGCTAAGCATTTTTTCCCAAGGCAACAAAATAAACAACCACTGTATTGCCTTAGGGAAAACGAAAACTGTCTCCTAAGCATATTCCTAATTTTTATTTTTGATTTTAAGTGATGTGAAAAAGATTGCTGCTCATAGCATAGGAATAACTGTCACTGATATCATTATTGAGAAGTGCATCAAAGTGATCAATAAAATTTTTAACCTCTGAGAATATCGTTCAAATATCATTCCGATAACATTTCCGATATTGAATATTTCAAATTCATTTATAACGACAAGTTGCTTTTTTGAAAATTTTTTAAAACATTTTGTTTGGTTATATCAAATTTTAATTTCTGCAACTTCTCTTCAAAATTTTAGCAAAATTATAACAGACATTTGACTATAAAGTAGTGAAAGGTTTATGATTTTAAAAAATCGCTTTATAAAATTACTTAGTCACCATATTAAAGTTAAAATTTTTTTTAATCCTCTTTGCATTTGATTGATTCATTCATTCATCAACCAAAAACTAACTTTATATAATTTATAATGCATGTTTTTTATTAGCAAATGATTTCCATGTGCAATTTTTTTTAAGCGATAATAATGTCATGAATTTTTTGGTGAAATCAAATCCGTCATTACATTTTGTATTTGTCAGTCTTCCTTATTTGAAAGCTCACTTCTTTCAAATTTTCCATTTCTCAATTACGCTTACTCTTTCGTCTTGAAAACATTTCTATTGCACTTGAACACCTCACTTTTAAATTCTCATTTCTCTGGTATCACCTTCAATATGGCTTTCAAAAATTTCATGGCTAAATTTTCAAATAAAAAGTATTTAAGAATATTTAATCTTCAAGAAATCGCATTAAGGCTAATATTCGCTTGTAATTCCAATTTTGTATCATCAAAATTTTTCTGTTGAACTTTTGTTTTGTATTGTATTTTTTAACCTTTTAAGACATTTACAAAATTTTTTATTATCTGTTATTAAATAAAATGCTTCAGATTCTAATACGAAGAATATATTTGTCAATTCTTTCCATACTGCAATCGCCACTATCTGTTGTGATGCGGAAATTCAATCTAACATCAAAAAATACTGCATATGAAAGTAATTTTTTTTTTACTATCACGTTTTACTAGTGTAGAGTAGTATAAATGTACTGAGAGACCATCAAATAATCATTTTAAATGTTAAACTTTCATATAGAAAAAATTTATTTGTGATACTTACCATTTCGAGGTAAACTGATAAGAAAGAGATGTTAAAAAATGATATTTCAAAGTGATAGCAAATTCAGAGAGAAGAAAATCTACAATTTATTAGCAATAATGAATCAATGAGGTTCAAATTTACTAAATAAGCATACTTTTACAGCACCGCAAAATCAACCAGATTTAAATTCATATATGAATCGAAAAGTATCATCTGGCAACAATGATCTGAATAGCTTCCAACCAATTTCATCGCATCTGAAAGAACAAATTTTAAATCCATTGACAGCCTCCATAGACGGATTAACAGGATCATTAGAATGTCACGAATCAGATCCTGAAAGCAATCCCGAATTGCAATTCCTCAAAGATTCATTGGTTGTAGTAAAACCCCTAATGTCATCCAAGACAACAGAAAAACCATCATCAACTTCAAATATAAGAATAGGAAAAGAAGTTGTCTTCACTGCATCAGACCTCAATCTTATCACTGGAAATCATCATATGGAAAGGCCAATCCCAAGAAAGCATCGTAGCTTCTTAGATGGATCAAATCAATTCACTACTGGTTGTAATGCCTTTTCACCGTTAACAATACAAACTTCAGAAATGATCACTGGTAAAAGAAATAACGAATCGATATGTAATACGACAGAAACTGATAACGAAATTATTGAATTAAGAGCGCAAATTGATTCTCTCTACTCAAAATTGAACGAAATTCAGCGCAAATGTGATCAAAATTCGCAAGAACATAAAAAAAGTATGCTCAAAAATAACAACAATATCAATGATACTAATAATGATAGCTACGGATATTTGAAGATTGCTAATGAAAATGCAAAATCGATTAGCTGTGTACCAAATGAAAATCCACAGATTTATCAATTTATTACAAATAGCAATGGAAGGATATCTTTAGAAGAAAAAAAATTGGAACAATCGGGAGAATTGTGTGATATCTGGGAAAAAAAAGATCAATTTGACAATACAGAACTGATAACTCCTAGAAATTGTCAGGAAAAAACTTTAAATGAAATGAAAGCAGATGAAGAGATTGTTTTGGTTGAGTGTTCTGAAGAAACGGCCGAAGAGCAATTAAAAAATGATGATCAAAATTCAATAGATAACCATCTTGACAAGTGTAATTCCGTCACAGCAACTGAGACAAATAGAAACTGTCAATTGCAATCTTTTGATGATAGAAGATTGGAACAAAAAGAGGATAAATTAAAAGATCAGTATAGCAACAGTGCTTCATATAAGCTTGAAACAAAAGATACGATAATTGCAGTGAAACGAATTAAGGAATATTGGGATGCTACATGTCTTTCACCTTCTCAAATTAAACTGACAAAAGAGAATTTGGATTGCATCAATCTTCAACATCAACACGAAAAAAATAAACCTTGTTTTCCACCAGCTAATCATCCCATCCAATCTTCAACATCAATTATCGGATTTCAACAACCGAGAATTGCTTTCCAACCACCCGTACGATTTGCACCAATGTTATGTTTTCCGAATATTCCAACATCTGCAGAAAATCATCCATATTTTCCACCCTCATACAATCCATTCTCACAATCAGAACCAGTTCAATTCTTATCACCAAATCAACTACCAAAACAATTCATACCAACGATGACCACTCCAATGCAAGCCTTTCAACAGCGTCCAAATCCGCTCCTAAATGTTCAATTTTCAAATCCAATCAATGCTACTACAAATTGTTCAACTATCAATTCACTACCACAGAACAGTTATAGCACCAAGCGTAAATTGCCATTTAAAAATGGGTTAGCTTCAGGCTATTCTAAATCCTTAAAAATTTTTATTTTAAAGATTTTTGTACGAATTTAAGCATTTCGAAATTTTTTAAAGTTTTTAGCAAGAGCTAAATAAAAAACAGTTTGGAAAAAAGTTAAAATAAAATTTATGATAAAAATGCATGAGAGCATATGCAGCGTAGCTATTAAAACTTAAAAATATACCAAATTATAATTTAATTACTACTTGATACTTTTGTTTTGATTTAGATCAATAGGAACAAGTATTATCTTAATTAGGAAACATTAATCACAAATCACTATTTTTCGATGGTGAATCTGCCAAGATTATTTAATTGATTTTAATGCATAACAGTCAGACATGTAAACTTCGGTTTCAATTTTTGAAAAAAAAAGTGAGAGATAAATGTAAGTTTGAAGAAATAGCAATTTTTTTTTCATCTATCCTTTTTTCTAAATTTTTCACATTTTCAAGAAGTTTTTTCATGCAAACTTTTCATTCAGGGTATTACCAGCAGCCAAAAAGAAGCTAATGAATTCGAAATCACGAAATGCAAGCGCACAAACAATTCCATCGATGAATGGTTTAGTTAATGTTCCAAACTCCATCAGTTTTGATCATTTAACAAAAGAACAAAGCATTGCTACGGTTTGTTATTTTTAATCTTCACTCTCCACTATATAAGAATTAGCATTTTACTAGACTTTAATAAAGTCTCTTATGACTTTAATATCGTGAAACAGTATTGACAGAATACTGTCTACTTGGTCTAATCAAAGAAAAAGCGAATATACATATTATTAACACTAGAAACAACAAAATGTTTGAATGGATTATTGAAATATGACTCATTTCTCTCAAACTTCTTTGCTTTTGAAGTAAGAAGTAAAGTAATTTCATCTTTTCATTTTAATGTTGCAACTATTTGCAACATAGAAGTACACAAACATTATGATTTATAAAATCTGTTATCATAATTCTTAAAAAATTTACTTGTCCCATTAACTCTAATATATCAATTTATTTCCCACTTTTTTACAGATTAAGAATCCGTTCTGTTCAATGCAACTACCAACATGTCAACAAATGATGGTAAATTTTACGTTTTAATTATGAAAAGTAAAAAAAAAATATGTAATTGCTACTCAAAACAAAAATAAAAGGAAAAGAAAAACTTTATTGGATCCAATGATAAATTTTGAAATATGAACACTTGATATATTACATATTGATATTATAAACTTTAGAATATGAAAGAACAAAGTATTCCAATGGCAAACTTGGAAACACTCCCAAGAAATTCGGAGTTACAGCAAATCGCAAATACATGCAATGCTGTTACGATGCCTCAACCTGCAATGATGAACAATTATAACTGCTTTATATGATCCTTTATTATAAAATTTTACTTATATATTTCACTTTACTTATATATTCCACTGATTTATTAATAAATTATTCAATTATTTGACTTCAGTTCGCACTACAATCTGACATTATTGTAGTCGAAACTTACTTCACACGACAGGTGTGTGAAAGATTCATCATCGAAACGAAGATGAAATAATCATTACTAGAGCTAATAAGCTTTACTTAGCATATCATAAGTGATCAGTTGTGGAAGTTAAAAACAAATTGTATTAGTATCAATGAGTGATCGTTTTTTTCCTTTTTGAAATTTCGCAGTAAATATTAATTGCAAACAACAGAGGATTGCATAATTTCAACAATTTTATTATAACATGTAGAATGGCGAGAAAAATGTTGTACAGTTTACTTGCTTTCATTAAGAGATCGTTTAGTGGTGAAAAGTCACTTTACAAGTTTCTGATACGAGTATTTTTGCAACAATAGAAATTTACGGTAAAGCAATGCAGGATCGAATAGGAAAAGTGATGTGAAACAAAAATCATTAATCTTGCTCAATTCACATGATTTTCATGATAAAAAGTTCCGTACATACAAACAACTAAGGGTATTGAAAATTCTTCTATGTTTCATGAACATATGACCTTCGAAATATTAATATTTTTAAGATAATAAATTCATGAGCTGCTGGAGATATTTGCGTGCCTAATTAAAAAAATATATATATCAAACTTACTGAAACAAAAATGCAGTAGAAAAATGCAAAATGTCAAAATGCAACTTTCATCCATTGAGAAAATGAAAGTACAGCATCTGCTTGTTAACAAACGCCGACACAGTTTATCAATATTAACACATGGAACCAATCAATCATCACATTCATCAACTCTGTCTAGGCAGTTTCTCCACAAAACTGGGATTTCTCAATTCTTCTGTCACCACATCCAAACCACCGATCAGTTCACCATTCAAATATAGCTGCGGATAGGTTGGCCAGTTGCTATATTTTTTCAATTCTTCTCGCACCTGATTATAACTAATGAATAATACACATTACGCAATAATTCAGCATTTAATTTAGCTAACACCTTAAAAAATCAATAATAGAAGAATTGAAAACTGTTAAAAACATAATCATTACATGTCAAAACGTGCCATCAGACATACTAGTGCAGGTATGGGGATAGCCAACGGATGAGATCCTGCAAGTTCTTAAACTTGTAGCCAAAAACATATCGTCCAATTACCCAAATCAATTTCTAATTTGCGACTACTACAATTGAAGTAATGTGCTGAGACAAAATGTGTGCTAGGATTAGATTCAGACTATAGCCTTGCTCTTTTATAAGGAAAGTTGTTAGTACTTGATCGAACAAAGAAATTTTGAAACCACCACAAAAACAAAATCAAAAACGTTTTCCTTTCTATATTCCATGAGCTAAAGATCTTTAAAAAAGATATATAGTGAAAAATTGAATAACCAAGAGTACAAAGACATACCTCATCATCTTCAAGAATATCAAAAAATGAATAGTTTGCATTAATCTCAGCCAGCAGCTCGACGATTTTTTTACTGAATTCTGCAAATTAAACGAGGAAAAAACTGTAAACCACAACTGATTCATTTTTTTCTAAATGTATTAAATATAATTTATTGAATAAAACGTTAGCACTTACAAAATAGTAAAACTTACTGCACTTAGGTGCTTCAGGACTTCCTTTCATAAAGAGCATCAAAGGAGCTTGATTGATCAATGTTTTTAATCTTTCATTATTATTCTGAAACAGTTATTCAGTATATTATAAAAGTTATCCTTCTTTGAGAATAAAAGGAGAAAAAAGCTTTCTAAATAAATTTATAGAAGACAGTGGTTTCAAAAATGAATTTGCAGTACAGACTTACTTTTAACTTCGGCAATTTGTTGCAAAAGTTAGGGTTATTTAATTCTTTTTTGAGAATATCTAGACCTCCAATAAGCTCTCCATTCAAATAAAGCTGTGGAAATGTGGGCCAATGGCTATAGTCTTTCAATCCTTGTCTTACCTGCAACTTTTTTTCAAATAAATGGTCCATGAGTTTAATTTCTTTCTTCATTAAATAGCGAAAAATAAGTCGAAATGAAAACAAAAAGTAAACTTTCTTTATAGTTAATGAAAAATCTTACTTCATCATCTTCCAATACATCAAAACTTGAAAAATCTGCATTGATTCCACGTAAAAGACTGACAATTTGACTACTAAAACCTGAAATAAATCTTAAACTGGGACATGAATTTTAGAAAACCGTTGAAGACTCGACATTCTGCGTATGTCATAGAAAAACAATAACCAGGATGAAATATTTTCCCAAAATTTACGAAAGACTAATTTCTTATACAAACCGCATTTTGGATTATCTGGTGTTCCCTTCATAAAGAGCATGAGAGGAGACTGAAAGATCAATGACTTTATCCTATCATTCACACCCTGAAAAAATCAATTATAAAGTGCTGAAAACATTTAAATATCAAAAAACTAATTAGAAGGATAAAATGTAAAGAAACATCATGAAAATATTTACCCTATTATTCACGCATAGATTTGCTACTCCGTTTTCTGTCACTGGTCAACTTTATAAAAATTTTTATACATCAGAAAAAGAGTACTGAGAAACAGCTAAGCAACAATTTTTGATAGAAGATGAACTTTAAAAAATTTACATTTTTCTCATCATCAATTGGTTTTTTTGTCATGCTAGCGACGCCTTCAGCAAAATTGAGCTTGATTATTTTTATTCTTAATTCACCCGGATCGAATCCTTGTAAACGGTCAACTTCCTTCCCTTTCTGAAATTAATCACTTTGAAATAAAAAGCATTGGCGTCGGCTATTCCGTTGAATGTCGTCTTCAACACAATAAAAAAAAATGGAATAAATGGAAAGCGATAAAAAGTGAAACAAATTTGATATTCGAAATTGCATACTGCGCCATTGTAATTGGCAATCTGATACTGAGAATAATGATGACTGAAAGATAATTTTTTAAGTCCTCGATATTATTTTCTAATTAATATACAGGGCTTAAAAAGTTACCTTTCAACTATCATTATTCTCAGTATTTGGCTGAAAATCATAATGATGCAAAATGCAGTTTCAAATATCAAATTTGCTGCACTAATGCATGAAAACTAATGAATCATATTCCTAAAAACTGCAAACCTTGAAAAAGAGAATGGTTGGAGCTACAGCAATATTATTTGCAACTGATACTTCACTAACTTCCTCTGCTTCAATTGCAGCAAAATCAAAGAACTTCATTTCATCTTTAAATTCTAATAATAAATTATTGAGCTGTCCACACATTTCCGACCATTTTGCAGAGAAATGCACCAAAGCATATCTGAAATTCATTTTTAGCTGTTTTTAAAAGATTTCCATCTATATTAGTAACTATAAAAAAGCATAAACTTGCGATGCTTTGGAAATTAAGTTATTTTGACATATATATCACACGGCTAGTGATATTAGTTTATCAACGTTACTCCAGTAACAAGAATTATTTTTTGCACAATGATCCAAATGGGGTATTTTTTAAGTAAAAAATACCC